GAATGTTTATTTTCTTTATATTCATACAAATAAATTGTTTCTTTCTAGCCTTTGAAAGAGTTGTAAAGTGGTTTATTTCTCAGGATCCTCAGGAGCTCCTTAAGTCATTTAGTCGAGGAGGTGGCTCTGGGTCTAAGCACCTGAGCACTGAATGTTTGTTGATGAAGTTTCTGCAGTCTCTTGCTTCCCTTTCCAGTTTGACTTTCATTGTGACAGTCTTTAAGAAATCTCCTCCGAGCTGTTGATTTTTAACAATAAAAGATTTTTAAAAACTAATTTTAATTGTCTGTTTTGACCTGGACAAAGTGCAGTGTGATGCTATCAGAAGAGCCTGCTCTTGTCCTTGTCTACTGATGCTTTTAGATAGGTCTCCAGGAGTGGTTATCACTCAACCTCTCTAATTCCTATTCTGGTGTTGTATCACCAGAATATAAAAAGTAATTCAAATGCATTTATTCTTTTATGTTTGAATTCCCCGTATTCCAGTGTGTGTCATTACCACCACTCCTGTTTTTGTCCGAGAGTGGTTAGTTCCTTCAGCTGCCTCAGTAAAGACAGAACCAATGAGGTCTCATTCCTGACATCACAGGGTTCTTCTGGATAGGAGCAGGAGGAGGACAATGTGGAAGTTTCATCTTGAGAAGTCCTGCTGTGTACTTGAGTATATAAGAGAGCTGGTGGAAAAGCTCACCGAGCCACTCCTTATCATGTACCACCAGTCGTGGCTAACCAAGGTGGTCCCAGCCAATTGGAGGGTGGCTAGTGTAATGCTTATCTGCAGAAAGTGTCAGAAGCAGAATCTGGGGAGCTACAGGCCTGTCAGCCTGACCTTGGTGCTGGGAAAGCTTGAGTGCATATCACATGGCACATACAAGAGATCCAGGGGATCAGGCTGGCGTGGGTTTGTGAAAGGCATAGCTCCAATCTCCCTCTGTAACATGGTGGCTCTTTTAGTGGATGAGGGAAAGTGCAGGGACGTTGACTTCCTGGACTTTAGAACTAGAGTGTTTGACACTGTATCCCATAGAATTCTCTTGGAAACATCAGCTGCCTGTGGCTTGGACACTCTATGTTCTGAGTTAAAAACTGTCTGATGGCCTGGCCCAGAGAGTGCTGGTGAATGGCATTACTTGCAGCAGGCAGCTGGTCACTAGTGGTGTTCCCCAGGGCTCTGTTCTGGGGCTAGCCCTGTTACTTGTATTGATGATCTCAGTGAGGGAATCAAGAGCTCCTTTAGTCACTTTGAGGACAGCACCGAGTTGGGTGGGAGTGTGGATGTGCTGGAGGGCAGGGAGGCTCTGCAGAGGGATCTGCTCAGGCTGGATCCATGGGCTGAGCCCAATGGTGTGAGGTTCAACAAGGCCAAGTGCCGGGCCCTGCCATTGAGTCACAGCAACCCCCTGCAGCTCCGGCTGGGACAGGGTGGCTGGAAAGCTGCTGAGAGGGAAAGGAGCTGGAGGTGCTGGTTTTCAGCGGCTGGGCATGAGCTGGAGTGTGCCCAGGTGGCCAAGAAGGCCAATGGCACCGGGCTTGTGTCAGCAGTACTGTGGCCAGCAGGAGCAGGACAGTGCCCATCCCCCTGTGCTGGGGGCACTGGTGAGGCCACACCTGGAATCTTGTGTTCAGCTTTGTTTCCTCACAGCAAGAAGGGCACTGAGGTGCTGGAGAGTGTCCAGAGAAGGAAATGGAGCTGGGGAAGCATCTGTAGAGTGAATCATATGAGGAGCAGCTGAGGGAACTGGGGGCGTTTAGTGTGAGGAAAAGGAGACTCGGGGGAACCTTATCGTTCTCTACAATGATCTAAAAGAAGGTTATAACCATGTAGGGATTGGCCTTTTCTCCCAGCAACTAGCAATAGGAAAGGAAAATGGCCTCAAGTTGTGCCAGGAGAGGGTCAGGTTGGATATTAGGGAAAAATTCTTCACTGAAGGAGTGGTCAAGCATTGGAACAGACTCCCTAGGGAAGTGGGGAGTCACCATCCCTGGAAGTGTTCAAAAATTGAGTACATGTGGCACTTCATGATACAGCTTAATGGTATTTGGTCAAAAGGTTTGATGATCTTGGAAGTCTTTTCTAACCTTAATGATTCTATGATTCTGTATTTGGTCCTCTTGTTTTGTTACTCAGCTAAATGGGAAATAATCATTAGTGTTTGCACAGAGTGGTGTCCTTGCAGTTATGCAGTGGTGGAAGTTGTTTGAGCACAGGAAACAACCTCTTTGTGCCATGCAGGAGGAAGCCAGAGCTGCTGACCTGGGGGGATACTTTTGAGTTGGTGGTTGGAGAGTGAAGCAACTGCTGCTGGTGATATGTGCGTGTCCTGGTTTCAGTTCACAACCAGGCAGAAACACCAATTTAGTGTAGTGGTTTTGCTTCATCAATTTGAAATTTTCCTGCTGTGAGATAGGATTAGGAGGAAGGCAAAACAGGCTCAACTTTAAATGGTACAAAGAAAAACTTTATTACTAGAAACTATAAGAAAAAAAACCACCTCAGAATAAAATTTTAGGCCACTCTTCCTCCCTCCACACACTTCTTTTCTTTCACACTGAGAATGTACAGAAAACAACTCAGTCAGTTTACCAAATCTAAAATAGTCTTTCATCAATTCACTTAGGAGACCTCCCTCTTCAGTCTATGGAGATTTCTCTACAACAAACAGTTTTCTCGTGGCCTTGATGTCACAATGATCAGCCACTTGGGAGAACGGAGATCTGATCACTGTGTAGAAATCCCTTCCTCAACTAACAGTTTTCCCATAACCATTATTGAGGACTGTATCAACTTATGAGGCACACTTTAAGGATTATAACAGTTCAAACAAAAGCTCGGTTCATCTTTGAAAACAGAGGCTTTTCTTCCTCTTCTTCCCTGGGGAGAAGCAGGGATCTTCTCACTATTCAAGCTTAGTGGATCACAGCAATTTCAATATCTGCTTACTTTAACACAAATACTTCTGCTCATATCTACAGTTAGAACAGTCATATCCATCCCATAATATCGTATGTGTTACAGGGAAACAAGAGCCTCTTCTCCATAGCATAAAAAAGAGAGAAATTTCAGTCCATGACTCTCCTCCTTCCCTCATCTGGGACCTGACTCTTCCTTCTGTCTGACCTCAGTGTTTTCATGTTGGTTTTGTGCATATCATCATCTTGGTCCTCTTCTTTCATCAGGAGAGAGAATAAAGTATTTGCCAAGTCTTATTCTGGGCATTGAAAGAGTTAATACTTGCCTGGGCAGCAGAGAGTTCCATGGGGCGGCTGGAGCTGTTTACAGCGAAGGGCCTTTCAAGGCCATGCTGGAGGTGGATTAGGATCGTAAGGGCCCAGCCAGAAAGCAGTGACGAGTTTTCTGGCTCCATGGTTGTTGTTTTCTGGCATTTGCTACCCTCAATTCCAGCTGCGGGCTGGGGATCTTCCATGGGGGTGTTCCCTCCACCCAGCCCGTGTGGGCAGTGGTCAGGCCCGGCTGCCTGGAGCCTCTCTTGAGCCATGGGCTCCCTGGCCACGCCAGAGGGGGCTAGGATCATAGCAACAGGTGTCTCCTCACCTTCTATTGGGGCCCCTGGTTGAAAATGGGGCCCAGTGGCTTCCTGAGCTCTGCCCGCTTGCCCCTGCCCAGCCTGGGCCATGCAGCAAGAGCTTGGGCCGGTGTTACCTTGTGAGAGGTCGGAAGGGAAAGAGAGCTTTCCCGAGGTTTTTTGTCTTTACATGTGTGTGTCGCAAAGACACATAAACTTTCTCATTGGTGTAACAGTGCGTCAGCATTAAAAATCCAACACTGATTGGTCCTTGTCAGGTACAAGGGAGACTGTCCAGGTCTCGGCCGGTAAAAATTGCAGGAAACTTTTTCAAACCACCACAGTAGGCAGTTCCCTTCATGGGGAATGCTGTGCTGGTTGGGTTGGACTACATTGGGTGATGGTGTTTGGGTGATGGATCTCTTTGCTTGCTAATGATGTGTTGGGGTGAAGAAGGACAAGGACAATGTGCTCTGTGTGCTCTAGCAGGTCCCCATAACCACTGGAGTCTAAGCACAGCCAGGAGCATCTTGGACCAGTTGTGGCAGCTGTAGCAGAGCAGTGAGCAGTTCTGGACATCCCCTGTAGATTTTGTTTCTTCTTTTTGGTGTTTCTTGGGTGAAGTCGGTAGCACCGGGCTTCTGTACCTTGTTCAAATCTTTGCAGACCTTGACGGATTCCCTCCTCGATTCTTTGAGGTGTACCTTGTCTATGCCATCCTGTTGTTTCCAAAACAGTGCTGTGGCATTGCAGAATGGTTGTATGTGGTGGGTTGATGGTTAAGAGGTGACTTTCATGTCTTGGCATTACTGGAGGATCTGGAAGGAAGAGTGTGGTGGTGGAAGAGGAGGAAGGCATCACGTGCCATCAGGGGCAAATGGGTGCCCCAACGGTCTGGCAGCTGTAAGAGATGCCTGGGGACTACAGGACCACCATTCCCTGAGAATGGTCTGCTGTCCATAGCCTTTGACCCAGGCAGGAGGTGTTGGCAAGATAGGCTGCAGGAGGGCTGCATCTCTGCCTGCCTGAAGAGACTGTGTCTTTGCCTGTCAGGTATCAGCATGGAGCACAATGGCCACAGCTTTGCTTTTTTGTTCTTTTTTGTTTATACAAAAAGTCTTTATTTCTAACAAAATAATAAATAAATAAATAAATAAATAAATAAATAAATACATGGCTGGCCAAATAAATAAATTATTAAGTTAATTAATTAAATAAGTAAGTAAACAGAGATCTGTGATAAATAGTGATTGGCATAAGAGTCCCACAGTAGTTCCCCAGTGTCCACAATCCCCTTCCCGTTCATCAGGTGAGCCTGCAGTCTAGATGAACGTAATAAATCCACAGGTAATAAGTACCATCTTTATCCCCAGTGCCTCGCAGCTGTCCATGAGTGTGTACCGCAGAATTTTCCTCCTCCTTCCTCTCCCGTGGCCGTGGCTGGGATGCCACAGACTGACCCCAGCGTCACCACGGTCATACCCCTTTCCCAATCAGTTCATCATTCTGGTCAGAAAGAGATCTGACTGGTACTGAGTGATCCCAGCTTGGGCTGCTGCTGTCACCACTCAATCCATGGCCACTGGTGCTGGCTGGGGAGGGGTGTTTGCTCTCCGTGGGTTTAGTGGGGTCCAGAGCAGCTTGGTGCTTCATTTGCCGTATGAGTCTGTCCACGTATTGGAAGCAGATACGAGCTTCGAGGCGGACGTGGTCCCAGGCGCAGGCGCTGTGGTTGTGGGCGTGGAGGAAGCTCTGGATGCGACTGAAGTACTTGTTGATGGTGAGCAGCGCGTTGCGTGGTCCTTGGAAGAGCGCGGCGTTGTCGGGGAGGCATTGCTCGAGGTGGTGGACGTGGTGCTGGAGTTTGTTGAGGAGGGCGCTGCGAGGCTGGGCGGGCCAGTGCTGGCGGGTGGCGTTGGTGCTGAGGGTGTGGAAGAGGTGCTGGAGGATGCGCAGGGCGGTGGCGGCGGCTTGGCGCGGGAGGAGGTTGTTGTGCGGGAGGGTGTCGGGGAAGAAGGGCCGCTCTTGGAGGTGGCAGGGCTGGGCGTGGCTGGGAGCCATGTCCTGGAGAAGCTGCAGTGCATCCCCAATATCGTGGGTCCGCAGGTGGTGACACGGGAGGCTGGTGGAAGGAGCCACGATGAGGAGCAGGAGTGCCAGGGTGCTGTGCCACTGGCAGGGCTGTGCACATCCAGGTACAGCCATGGCGGAGCTTTGGGTGCTGTGCAGGAGCCTCGTCTGGCTTGGTCGTGGTGGCTGCTGTGCTCGGGGTGCTCCCGGGTTTGCAGTTTTATGTACCCATGCCCATGCTTTCCTTTCATCACCATCTTGTAGAGAATTTCCCGTTTCTGTTTTCACTTTTGGTTTTTTCGTTTGCTTTCTTCTGAGGGCTTTTTTGGTGCTTGTCACTGACCAGGAGTGGGCGCTGCTATGAGAATGGGAGCTGACACTTTCTCAGGGCTGCTGCCAGGGGGAAGCCTGGCTACTGTGCTATTACAGAAGATGAAAGTGCGACAGAAGTTTTCCGGTGGCTGTGTTTCAGGATTGTCTTTTCATCTTTTTTGTGTGTTGCCTTTTTTGGGGTTTTATTTTAAAATTTCTTTACCTATCAGCATTTATTTTTTTTTCTTATTTTATGCTCCAATATTATTTGTATATAATGTTAATTTTCCATGTAGTTAGTGTTTTCTTATATTTCTTACTGAATTGTTAGTCTCTCAGTCCTTTTAAATTCTATTCATATGTATATATATTTTTTTAATAATTTTTATTTTTTCTGTGGCACCTGCAACTTTGCTAGTGCAAGAGGTTTTCTTCTCTCTGCAAAATCTTGCAGAATATTTTTGGAGCCATTTCTCATACCCCTGTATCCAGAGTTAATTACCCTTGGAATGTTGGTAGTTAGAAATAAATGTGCAGATGTCACAAAGGATTTTTCATCAACTGTTCGTGCAGTGTTTGTCCTTTCTAGATTTTGGTTTTTATTTTTTATCGTGTTGTGATTTTTTTGTGCAAATGTGGCAGTGTTAGATGCAGAAGCATCTAAGTTAGGGGCAGAAGTAGGTGAGAATATTTCTATTTCATGTGCCAGTCCACTTACATGTGAAAAGTGAAAGTGGGCAAAGTTCCAAGTGAGAGTCGTCACTGCTTCCTGTGTAAATTCCAGCAGTAAGAGATTCCCATGTTTGCTGATAAAGCAAGAATGGGATTTTCTCCTGAGGCTATTTTTTTTTTTTTTTATTTAACTCAAGTAATGTGCATATTGTTGCTGTAAATTCTCACTGTGGATTTTTTCGTTGTTTGGGTTCTTTTGGTGCATGTTACTTTGGGGTATGCTGTCTTCTCTGTTCGTCTGTTGCAGAGATCTTATCAATGTGTCAGCTGGTGCATGTGGTACCCAGTGAGCTGCTGCGTGGAACTTAAATCTATTATATCTCATGACTTACCCTTTTTTCATCCTTTTCTGCCTCACTTTTTGAGCCTATTTCTGATATTTCACTTTTGCTTTTAGGCAGCTTCTTTTGTAGGTCAGGAGATATCTGTGGCGTTTGAAGAGCAGTGTCTTCCCTGATACTTTCGTTTTGGCAGACATGAAGTGCAGGCATAACTGCCTTGCACTCATATTTTCTAATGAGTTTTTAGTTTGAATATGTGTATGCACAAGTAGGATACAGATATTCAGTACTGATGTGGTTTTCCCCTGCCTGAGATGCAGTGGGTATAATTGCAACCCTTACACCCTCTTCTCATGTGGATTTGATTATATTTTGTCTAGTTTGTATAGGGAGGAAATGTTAGTATGTCAGTTCATACCTGCTGAATTGTGTTCATACCTCTTCTCTAGATGTTCTTTTTGTGGCATTTTCATCAGGTTAAGAGAACGCTGCTTTTGAATAACCTGCTAAGACTTTAAATGTGAATTTAGTTGTGTTTTGCCAAGTGATTCATTCTGGAGCTCCTAAGGGGGAATTACCAGGGAAGGCAAGGTTAATGATGCAATAGCACCATTACAAGTTACAGAAAGCACCTACAATACTAAAACTTTGCCACATTATTTCATGTTCAGTAATGGAGGATTGGGTGTAGGAGACAGAGAAGTGCACGGAAGTGGAACAAGGTGGACGGTGCTGTCAACTCTGAGAAAACATTTGAGGTGTTATGGCATTTGCAGAGATTGCAGTATGATAAAGGAGGAGACTTTTCCAGTGTTTGAAAATGTGGAAATGGATACATTACTACTTAAAGCATTATCTCTTTCTGGATTGGAGGCGATGAGGAGTAGAACATGAAAATTAGGAGGGAAAAAAACAGATTACTAGACCCACAGGTGAACTTCACCCAGAGAGAGAATGGCAAACTTCTTACCTTTTCTCCTTGTAGAAGACCTAGAAAAATGATCTGAGGCAGTTGTTTCCACCTTTTCTATGCACCCTATCAGCAAAAATTTGTGAGCACTCACCTTCAGTGTATTTTTATTTCTGAATTATATACATACACTCCTGTGCTAATATATATGTTATAAAACATACACAAAAATAAAAATTTTAAAAGAAGATAAAGGTTAAACAAACACTGTTTCTAAATTCTCTTAAGTTGTATTTATCAAAGGTATCAAATCCATTTTCTTCCTGCACCCCGATGGGTTGTGATACATACTCCATTTTGGAGACTATGACCTGTAAAGTAGTTTAAATAAATTTTCCAGTCATCCAATTTTTCTCTCTTTTAATGTTTTTGCTGTTTTCGCAGCTGACATTTCCACTTTTAGAAAACAGGGCATAGTACAAGGGCAAAACCCTTAGACTTACATCTATGTTGTGATTACAGTCCTGGTCTGACCCAGAACCTTTTACCCACAATGGTCAGTTCTCTTTCAGGCAGTCTCACTGGAACATGGCAGTTCAGAACTGGGAGCTGTGTGGGAAATCACTTTGTTATTGCCTTTAATTTACCATTAAGAGATGAAATATTTGTGTATAATACTAAAAGTGTCTATCAAGTAGGTTTATTTTTAGCTTGAGGATCTAGGTAGATTTTCAGCTCTGCTGCACAATGTGAGGTCAGGTTCCACCCAAACCTTCCTTAGTTCTTGCTTTTAGATTTTTATTCTCTGTCTAGTGTTCAGTTCATAAGATCTGTCCAGCTATGTTGCAGTTTCAACTATTAATAAATAGTGTTGTCTCTTTCCAAGGATTACTATGGCATTACATTCCCTGCTCCTGCAACCTTGACAGGCAGAGATGGGAGCCTTGCTAACAACCCGTACTCAGGTGAGTGCTAGTTAAAGATGAGAATGGCAAGTGAGATATGCTGGTTTCTCAGTGCAGGTCATCCTGCTATTGCTCAAAGAGGAGTTTGTTTTCTCTTCTGTGGTCAAAGAAGCCCCTCCTTGTTCCTGCTCTTGTTCTTTAGCTGTCATTGTGCAAAGAAAATATTAATGCCATCCAGGATTTCAGCCAGTGATTTTCATCCACTGCCAGTTGATTACATCTTAGAACTGTAGCCATAGGTATTGTAGTTGCTATAATGATGGTATTAAGTGCTGTTGGTTGGGAGTGAGGTAGAAGGGATTGATGTATGTCACTTCCTTGGTAAACATGTGAACATGTTGCTCTGTAGGCTGCCAGAAAGTACAAGTGTTTGTGAATTTTCTGCTTCATGATCATTTCTCTTGGGAGGCTGTTTTTGGGTTAATAACTGAATTTCCCTTCCTACTTCTTCAATAAGGTGGCCCACGATGCAAGCCTTGCTTTCCTGGCCTTCAGCTACTGTCTTCAGAACTTTGGTGGTGTGAGGAACTGGACATCTTAACTAGTCATGCTTGACAAATAAACAGACATTGGCAAAAATGTACCCATCACTGCCTGTAAATCCTAACCTGCTTTCAGCCCATGAAGCTTAGCTAAACAGGTTAACCTCCAGAAGAGTCACACTTTAACCCAACAACCATTGGCTCTCTGGCTATTTACCATGCTTCTGCTTTTAGCATATTTTATTGCAATGATCTGATACTAATGAGTCTGCTCAGACCATTTGAGATAGGTGAGTATTAGCATCTCTCTTTATCAGTGGACTAGCCATGGCATGGAGTTCTGTGCCATGAAGAGGCAATATCCCTGTAGCTGTCAGGAATAGTCATGGGGTGAGGGCTTCCCATGAGCAACTGCAGGCTTTCAGGTGTAGGATGTGTCCTGTTCTGTAGTTGTCCGCTTGTATTCAGAGGATTTAAATCCATTGAATTCTCTACCTTTGCAGTATCTTTGATAGCTTTTCTGATGAGTTCTTTCTTTCACAGGTGATGTAACAAAATTTGGCCGTGGGGATTCTGCCTCTCCTGCTCCTGCAACCACGCTGGCCCAGCCGCAGCAAAACCAGACACAGACTCACCACACGACTCAGCAGCCCTTCCTGAACCCGACCCTGCCCCCAGGGTACAGCTACACTGGGCTCCCTTACTACGCTGGAATGCCCGGTGTTCCCAGTGCATTCCAATATGGGCCAACCATGTTTGTAAGTATGGCAGATTCAACTGTAACCCTCCCTGAGTGCCTCTCTAGTTTTGCTTTCTCCAGCCCAAACACTCCACGTCTTGGAATATAGGAAGGTTTGGGTTGGAAGTATGATCAAAGACTATCTTGTCCCCATCCCCCTGCCATGGGCAGGGATACTTTCCACTACACCAGCTTGCTCAGAACCCTATCCAGCCTGACCCTGAACAGTTTCAGGGCTGGGCCTTTCTTAGCTTCTCAGGGCAAATTGTGCCTGTGTCTCACCACCTTCATGGTGATGAGTATTTTCCTTATATCTAATCTAAATCTACCATCTTTCAGTTTAAAACAGCTGCCCTTTGTCCTGTCACTACAGGGCCTGGTAAAATGTTTTTCCCATCCTTCCTATAAGCTTCCTTTAAGTGTTGAAAGGTCACAGTAAGGCTCTCCCTAGAGCCTTCTTTTCTCCTGGATGACCAGCCCCAACTCTCAGCCTGTTCTCATAGGAGAGAGGAGCTCATCCCTATGATCGTCTTTGTGACCTCCTATGGATCTGCCCCAACAGGTCCACAACTTCCTCATACTGAGGATCCCAGAGCTGGAGTCAGTATTCAGGTGGATTCTCATTAGAACGGAATAGAGTCAGCTGCCCCAGTCTGCAGGAGATCTCCAAAAACATGCAACGTGAGAAAATAGCTGCAGTCTCACCCAGAAGAAAACAAAATTTTAAAAGGCCAGAACTCATGGACCCCTTTGCGAGTTTCTGTAAATAACTGACAGCTCCATTTTGTGGGCTTGCTATTCCTGAGAGCCCTTACTAGTCCCTGGAGAGTCAAGGGGAGACCTAAAGCTGACTCACTGAGGTGAGAGAGCCTGGATGGATGGAGGAGACCCCATTAAGTCAGAGAACAAGGCTGGAAGTCTCAGGAAGAAAGTTATTTGGGAAGAGGTGCTGCTCCAGGCAGAAAGGCAGATGAGGCTATTTAGGGCCCTGTAGGATAGTATTTTATGAACAGCCTCAGGCAGGAATTGGTATTTACTTTGATTCTGTGGTTGTTCTTCTCAAGTTTGTGGGTAAAAATTTGCTGTTTACATTCAGCATATGAAAGAAATACCCAGCTCCCCTGTTCTGAGGGAGGGATGAATTGCAATCACAGGGATAGCTCCAGGAGAAATCCTGGGACACAAATCCATGGTAGCAAGTTACTGCTGTAAGCAGTCCCATGCCATCCCAGTCCTCCCAGCTTCGTGAATTCCCAACGTGAGTTGGAGGTGCCTTCCCCACTAGGTGGCAGAGGGAACCTGTATTCCAGCTGATGGCACCTTTTGTTCCTCTCCTTTGTCCAGGTACCTCCAGCATCTGCTAAACAGCACGGAGTCAACCTGAACACGGCATCGACTCCCTTCCAGCAGGCGAGTGGCTACGGCCAGCATGGCTACGGTGCAGGTGAACCCTCAGCCCCTCTCCCCCCGAGCTCCCGCAGTGCCGCTCGCGCGCCCTAACGCCCTGTCTCGTGTCTTGTGCTCACCGGCAGGCTACGATGACTTAACGCAGGGAACTGCAGCTGGAGATTACAGCAAAGGAGGCTACAGTGGGTCATCTCAAGCACAAAACAAATCTGCTGGCACTGGACCTGGGAAAGGTAACATTTTGAGACTGAAGGTTCCTCTGAAGTGGGATTTAGTAGGGCAAACTTGCAGTGCTGTGCAGTCAACAGCAGCAGTCAGCTCCTAACAGGGTCCAAGCTGTTTCTCCATCTCCCATGTACAAAATGCTTTTCTAATGGCCCAGTTATTCTTTCTAAACCTCATGGCTGAACTTTGCATTAAGATTTGTGCAGCTGATGCACAGCTTGGGTCCCATTACACATGGGAGAAATGTTGAGCTCTTACCTAAGCCAAAGCTTTCTTTGCTGAAGAATATAGTGATCCTTTAACAGTGCTGTGATTTTGAAACTTGAGCAGTTCAGTGATGTTGCTGAAATGATCCTCTGCCAAATCATAGCTAGATTTTTAAGTTTGGTAGGCACCTGAGACACCCATGTATCAGAGAGGAGCAGGGTACTTCACATATCTCTGGGCTGTCTAGCTGTTGCCTGTACACACCCATAACATTGTGTCATGTGACAATGTTTTCTTTGTGACGATAAAAGCTGAAGAATTTATCCAGCTCATACAAAAACTTTATTATTAGATCTGAGAAGTGTATACTGGGCTGCTTAGCCCTAACTGGTTCATCCTCATGCTGAAGCAAATAACGAGCATTTGCTGTGCATTTGAGACACCGTGTGATCTCACACTCTTTGGTGGAGAAGCAATCCAGGAAGGAGCAGTGTCTAAGGAGGGTTACAAAAGCTTAGAGTAATACTCTTGAGCGCAGTTCTCTGATTCAAAGCAGCCACTGGCTTTTTTCTGATTCAAGTGATATGATCAGAGCCACCCTCTATAAAACTGTGAGTGTCTCTGAGCCAGTGATGCTGATTCTGTCAGGGCAGAGGAGCACTGAAGACTTCACTGTTCTGTAGGATTTGGAGGGACAGGGGCTCATATGTGTAGGAAATGCTGAGTCTCATCACTCAAGACACTACTGGAAAGCTCTTGAATGCTGCAATAGAGCCGAATGTACCTCTGATCCTAGGGGACAGCTGGCTTTTTGTGGGCTTCAGTGAGTGGTCAGTACAGCCAACTGCTGCCTGGTGAAGTGCATTGAACTCCGAGTGTTAATGACTCGGAGGGGACCTGGGTGATTTATCCCAGTGGGCTTGTGCAGTGGGAACAAGAAACTGAGCCCTTTTTTCTGTTCCCATGTAAGGTGCTGTGGGTCTGAGGTCGTGGAGAACCAGCAGGGCAGTGCATCCCCTGAGGCTGCTGGAGGTACCAGGAGCAAAGTTTGGGATTGTGCTGGCTGGTGGGGTGACATTCTCACTGTTGGTGGCATTTCTGTTTTCCAGGTGTTTCTGTGACCTCAAGTAACACGGGTGTGCCTGATATCAGTGGCTCAGTCTATAACAAGACTCAGGTGAGGAGTGTTGGACCCTCCCCCCTCAGGGCCCAAGGCTGATGACTCCTATTCCCAGTCTCAGGGTCAGCAGGCCACGGCATCTCTAATGCTGGCTCTGTTTGCTGCTGGAGTGAAGTCTCATCCTCTGTCCCAGTGTTTCTGCGGTGTCAGCTCCTGACAGCAGCTGCTGGCAGAGGCTCAGTGTTCCCTGTGCTGCACACTGCCCACGCTACACCATGCCAGCAGTGTCCTGGGTGCAAATGAAGTTATGGGTTAGAATTTTTGTCCAAATAGCCCCCAAAGCAGGTGAGTTGGGAGGCTGTTTGCTTTCCTTCAGAGGGACAGGCAGTAGTGATCACCTCTAACACCCAAGAGTCCTTGTTCTAAGCTCCCCTGTGGCTATTGCTCAGTGTGCAGCTTCCCAGGCAAAGCAGAAAGTGCTTTGACCAGCTGTACTGTGCACTGGGCTTATGCCCAGCTCCTATTTGCTCTTCTGTGCACCCTCAGTGGGGAAAATCAGTGTCTGGCTGTGATCCATGCTTACAAGTAGGAAGCCAGCTGTCAGCTCTGTGCTTAGGGGTCAAGGTTTGGCCAGCAGGAGGAAAATATTACTGCAAGTTCCTGTATTTTTGTTGGGCTGCCCTGGATAGGTTGAGTAATTCTAGGCTGAGCCCACTCAGTGGGGGAAGGACTGATTAGGCAGCTTCTGCAATCCCACTGAATGCTGCAGTCCCTCTGAATGGAAAGAGGTCAGGGAAAAAACCCCACAATGTCTGTGAAAATAAAAGTTTCAAGAGCCATTAGTGCAGAAATACGGGTGAGAACAGGAGCTGAAACTCATCCTCTGGTGTGCTTGCAGGTATTCAATGTGACTTGGCTTCCTCGTGGGGTAGGTGAAAGGTTCAGGTGATGTGTGTTTGGGCCACTCTTGTTCTGGTCTGGCTGAGGGTACTCACACCAGTCTCTGACTGTGCCCTTTGCCCCCTGTGCAGACGTTTGACAAGCAGGGATTCCATGCTGGCACTCCGCCTCCCTTCAGCCTGCCTTCTGCTCTTGGATCGACTGGGCCCCTGAACCCTGGTGCTGCCCCGGGTTATGCTCCAGCCCCGTTTCTCCATATCCTCCCTGCACATCAGCAGCCTCATTCCCAGATGCTGCATCACCACCTCCAGCAGGATGGGCAGGTGAGTCAGCCCCTTCTGCCTCTAGAGCATCCCCAAGAGCATATTGCTCCCACTTTCCAGCAGGGTCTTGGGATGGTTGTTCCCTTCTGTTGTCAGCTTTGCTTACTGGGAATGGGCCCTTGGCTGTTGACCAGCTTGGAGAGGGAATTTCATGAAGTTCAGCCAGGGAAAATACCACATCCTGTCCCTGGGGAGAAAAAAGCCCTGTGCACCAATCTATGTCAGGGACCACCTGCTGGAAAGCAGCTCAGCAAAGGCCCTGGGGGGCCTGGTAAGCACAAGTTGACCATGAGCCACCAATGTGCCTTTGCAGCAAAAGGGACAATGGGACCTGAGCTGCACCAGGCACAGCACGGCCAGCAGGTTAGAGAACTGATCCCTGCCCTCTGCTCAGCCCTGGTGAGGCCACAGCTGCAGCATCGTGCCCAGTGCTTCCCTCCCCACTGTGGGAGAGACATGGATGTGTTGGAGACTGTCCAGTGAAGGACTGATGAAGGGGCTGGATCCTGTCTCCTGTGAGGAAAGGCTGGGGGAGCTGGGACAGTTCAGCCTGGAGAGCACTGAGAGGGGATCTCATCAATTTACAAAAAGGGAAGATGTAAAGAGGGTGGAGCCAGCTTCTTTCCAGTGGTGTCCAGTGGCAGGAACAGGGACAGTTGGCACAAACTGGAACACAAGAGGTTCCCTCTGAATATCAGAGAAAGTATTTTTGCTGGGATGGTGACTGTCTCGGTTTGAAAGACAGATATCTTCTAAGGAAAGGCGAGAACTCCTTTTCTGAGATGCAGAGTGCAACCCCCTCCCTTTTAATTATTTTAGTTTCAAATCAGAGGCCTTCAGGCAGGGGATAAGAATAACAGTTCTTTACTGGTATCTAAGAAGGCAGAAAACAACAACAGCTATAAAAATTGACAACAGAACAGAACAGTCTAGCTCCGCTCCAGTCCCTTCTGGCCGCAGGCCGTCTCCCTGTGCTGTTACCGGTGCTGTGGGGGCAGGGCAGGTCCCGCACAGTTGAAGAGGGCTGGGTGATGGCGGCCGCGGCCCAGGGGTGAGCGGGGATGGGAAAGTGACTCCCCCTCACGGTGTCAGTCGTGGTGCTCAGCAGAGTGTCCGGAGGTAGTAGAGTGAGATGGGAGAGCAGCAGAGCGATGTCCAAAGGCAGGGAGCGTGGATCTCAGTGCTGGGATGGCAGGGGGAGATGCCAGAGCGGAGCCCAGGTTGTCTTCCCACTCCACGAGCCAAGCGAGAGAGAGAGAGCCCCGCTCCAGACCCCCCATCCCACCTTTCCTTTTCCGGTTCCCCCCCTCCCCCTCCAGCCACCCCCCTACGAGAGAACATTATCTGTCGTTTTAAGGTGTAGCCACAATTACTTAGCATAACAATAGGAGAAATTCCACAGAAAGAAAAGGGGAACAGTCCAACCCCCAACAGTGACAAAGAAATGCCCAGGAAGCTGGTGGAGTCTACATCCTTGAAGTTGTCTGGGAATGGTGCTGGGCAGCTGGCTCTCAGGTGATCCTGCTTGAGCAAAGGGATTGGACAAGATACCTCAAGAGATCCCTGTCAGCCGCAGCCACGTCATGATTGTGTGAAGAGCCCATCCTGCTGTGGGCTGGGGAAGGATGGTTTGTGGGGTGTGGGGCTGAGGCAGGTGCTACTATCCTCTGTCAGGAGGGCAGGATGTGAGCACTTGTGCTGTGATTCTGGGGAAAAATCCCCTGCAGGTTGCTTGTCAGCTCTAATTTGGTTTCACTTGCACATGTGTTTACTTTCCTAACACTAAATATTCCCTGAAAAAAACCAGTGTTCAGCCTTAGAGTCCAGTGAGTTCACACTTCAAATATGTGACATCCTTGTCTGGTGCACCACCTTGGCTCACCTTGGGAAAAGCTCCTTTGCTGTGCCTGGCCCTACTCCTCAGTTACCTTGTGCTTGAGCCTGTTGTGCTTGGGAGGTAGTGGGATGGTGCATCCCTGAGTTCCTGCTGGGTGTGTCCATGGTTGCTTGGCCTGGACTGTGGGATGTAGAGATGGTGCAGGGCAGAAGCAGATCTGTTCAGGGGGGAGCGTTGCTGCACTGTTGGGTGTCAGGGCTCTCCCTGGCGATGTTGGGGTGAGCATTCCTGGGAATGCTGGTGCTGTGGCAGCTGATGCTCCTGTCTCCTTTGTTTCCCTTTTCTAGGGTGGATCTGGCCAACGCAACCAACCCAGCACCATGCAGCAAAAGTCTCAGGCTACCAAAACCGCCTATGGCACTTCTCCATACTGGACAAACTAAATCTGAAACCGGGGAGGGGGGAGAGAATGAAAGGAGTGGAGGAAGAAGAAAAAAAGAGAAAACAAAAGAAAAGAGAAAAAAGAAAATAGAAGCCGAAGCCCATTCTTGAAATGATCAGAAAAAGTAACTGCTCAGCCAAACGTCTGTGCGGGGAGAACTGCAGCCAGCCAGCCACTCTCTGTGTGACTCACCTGCTTCCTCTTTGAGTTGCTGTTATATGTAATATATTTATGTATGTATTTGTAAATGTAATAGAGCCTAAATGTGGTTTTCTGCATCTTGCACCCTGTTTTACTTTCTTTGTAGGAAAACTAATTATTCATTTTCCATCTGCATCAGGGCATCCTTCTTTGTTTTTTATTTTGAGTTCTGTGGGTTTTGTAACTCTGTCAGACAAAGATAAACTGCGCCTTTTTTTTTTGGAGCTGAAGCCCATTTATTTAATGCAGTTCTAAATTCAGACAAATAAGGAGACTTTCCCTTTCAAAAATCTAAATCAAGATGTGTCCTATTAGTTTGATTATACCCCCCTACCCCCAGTATAGCTGTTATTTTAGAGGGGGAAAATAAAAGAAAGGAAAAAAAAAAAGTTTTGTGGGCCTTCCCCTTTCTTTCATTTCCTCCCTCCCTCCTGCCCTCTTGCTGTGGAAGACAAGCTCTTGTGGGCAGTTTCATCACTGTGGCCTTGAGCTGCAGTCTCAACTTCTAATTTTTCAATTTTTTTGATAATAATAAACCGGGCAGGGTTCTATTTTTTGTTTTTGCGGCAGTTTTTTGTTGCTGGTGTTTTTCTCTAGCAAGAGACTTCGGATGGCTCAGTGTGTCCTGGAACCTCCTTTGCATCATTAGGGCAAAAACTATGTAGCGGTTTCTTAAATAAAAGTATAAGCTGTGTCTTGTACCTCTTTTTGCCCTGAGCCACCTTCCCAGGAAAGCCAGAGCTACTGGATGGAAACTACATCTGTCCCTCCCCACTTTTTTTAAAACAATGACCTTGGAGGCAACTCCTGGTCCTTTTTGTCCTGCACCTGTGCAGTGAATGTTCTAGGAGTTTCATTTCTTTATAAGCCCTTCCTCCACCTAATAAAGATCTGAGCATATATACCCACTGGCGTTTGTCTGCGTTTTTCAAAGGCTCCAGGAGCAGTTTTACTTTTACAGCCTGTCCCTTTCCACCTGCTCCTGCAACAGCAGCCAAGCTGGGAGGGTGAGAGCAGCAGGTGAGTTTCACCACAGTGAGTTCACCTGTGTGCTAAGAGCTCTCAGGCACCCACAGCAGGGATGGGATCCAGGGCCGCACCCTCACTCCTGCCATGAGCAGCCTGTTCTACCTTTGGTGTTTCCTGGGGTGGTGCTCCGAGTCCCTGTGAGCAGCTGGGATTGCTAAGGACGGAGCACAGCTACAACTCTGCCCTCTCTGGCTTTGCCCACGAGGTCCGTGGGCTTCACTGGGAGGAAGGGCAGGGGTGTGAGGGGCTCCTGAGGGGAGTCTCCTGCCCCAGACTTACTCTTCACATCATCTTGTCCCTGTGCAGCAGAGAAGATGGGTAAATGCTGAAGCACGCAACAGACAAGAAGCTTCTTTCTTTCAGTATCCACAAGAAAAAAGTCTGTTTCTACCCTGAGAACAATTTTTCTTTCTCTGTTACTAGCTCTGGGCCCTGTGAGACCCAGTTGTCACCCAGGATTCCCCCAGCCTCCAAGCAGCACGAGAGCTACACTGGCATTCCTCTTCCCTGGCTCAGGTTTTGACACTGGTTAAACTGCTACAGCTGCTCCAAGCCCTTGGCAGCTGCTGCCCCACTGCCACCAGCTTGGGGGCTTGAATGTCGAGGGTAAAAATTTCTGCAGGCTGGGGCCCAGCAGCTTGTACAAGACTGCACCAGCAGCTGAGCCCTCGCAGCAGCAGCACCTCATTTACCTGCTTCAAAACACAGGCTTCCCCAGAGCTGCCTTCACGCTCTTGAGGTCTTGTTTATAGACACCCAGTGCTGCCCCGCAGGTGTAGCTCAGTTCTTGCGTGCGTGTCACAGTCTAGAAGCAGCTGGAGCTGGAGAAAGGCAACAGGGCAGAGATGGTGCCGGCCCCCAGCAGCCCCTGAGCCTCAGGTCCCACCCCTTCCCAGCTGCTCTGGGTCCTGCCCGCAGGCAGAGCGTTGCCTTCAGCCACAGGCAGGCTCCTCTCCTCTCTTTTTAAGAATCAATAAAATGTTTCTCCCTTCCCCTACATTGTCACTTCGGCAGGACTTGCCTCCAGCAATTTCCTCTCGAAGCTCTGTTCCACTGATGGCAGAGGCAAGATTGCCCAGCTGCACTTGGCCACCAAGGAGAGAAGGGAAAAGCCCCCTTTGCAGCTCCCCGGGCATACCCCGTGCAGGCTAGGCTGGAGCCCTTGCTCTGCCTTTGGTCCCACACTGTTGCTGGAGGAAGCAGCTGCTGGCAGTTCTGGGCAGCCCAGTGCTGTAGGGTCAAGCAGGAGACACAAGCAGGCCAGATTCCAGACAGCATCATCCGTCCCGTGCCCTTTCCGTAGTATGGAGGCTGCTTTGGGAAGGCAGCTCCAAAATGCCATCACCCTTCCTCCAGCTCAGCTGTGCAGCAGAAGCACTTGGGCCCCAGCCACATTTGATTCAGCAGTTGCTGTGCTGCCATCGATACCAAGTGCAGCCAGTGCAACCCCCTGACACTTGTCCCGCTAATTTTAGCTCGACTGCAGCAGCCGGGGCACTGCAAACGCCCTGCTCCCCTCCTGAGCCTGCAGGGGACAGGCAGGGCTGGCACCCGGGAGGGCTGGCAGCCATGACCTCAATTTCTCTGCCAAAGCTGCTCCCTGACCCAGCGGTCAAACTCCTCCCCCACCCTGTCCGAGTCTTCCAGGAGCACCGGGGCACCGGCAGCTCTGGCCCGAGTCCTGCGTCCCTGCTCCAGTAACATGAATCCACGAACCACCTTCTCACTGGTCTCCCCCTTCCTGACTTAGGAAAACTATATATAACAGCAAAGATTGGCTTTTTGCCAGCCTTTTGCCACAGTCCTTCTCTAAATCAGTTTGTTCTTTAGTCTTAGGTGCGGGCAGCTGTCAAACAGCAGCTTTATTTTCCAATAAACGTATAAGTTTCTTTATAAATATGTCTATTTCTGTATAAATATGTCTATTGATACCAGAGCAGCAATGAACTCATGAACAGCTGTTATTCAAAGCTTTGAGTAACCCATGCAACCAGCTCCCACATGGAAGTAATAGCACAGAGATATTTTCATTTCACATTTTTATTAGTAGACAGATGTGCAGAAAAGACAAAATATAACTACTGAAGGAGAAGACAACACAAAAATGCCTCAGTTAATTCCTTCTGGTAAATTATACTGAAGAAAAAAAAGGAAAAGATCTGGGAGTTCAGCTAAGAAAACTACTAAGAAATCTAGTGTACCCTGCTGGTTTCAGAATGGTTGAAAACTGCATTTGAAGGGACATGTAGTTGCAAATGTAAACGCTAATATTGACTGAAACAGGAAAAAGGGGTTAAGAAAAACCCAGAATACACAGAGCAGGTAAACATTTTTCTGCAATCTCTTAAATAGTTTCAAAAAAAATCCCCTCATACTTCAGTTGTATCTCAAAAAAAGGAAACCAGCAAGTCAACAAGCAATGACACTGCACAGGACAGTGGGAAGAGAAATTAGTCTGGTTAATGTCAGAGCTCTCAAAAGAGGCTGCTTTTTTTGTCATTAAAAAAGGGTAACAGAAGAGTCATAATGCATCTTACAACACCAAGCTTGGAAATACAAGTCACTGGAGAGTATACAGTGAAGACGGTCAAAAGTACAAGGGAAATCCTGAAAGATGCAGTATCCTCATTTCCAACCAAGTCATCAGCAAAGCCAGCGTTGCCACACTCTGCTCCTCCATCCCCCACAGCCTCCTGAAAGTTGGAGGTTGGTGTCCCTACCCTGGCGTGGCCCCGAGTCCAGTCCTGCAGCCGGAGCATCAGGGGCCCATTTGCCAACCCTGGCGCTGCCCTCGCAGGGCTGGTGTGAAGCTGGGGGTACCCCACACTGTCACTAGACGCAGGGGAGCCCCGCTGCAGGCTCCAAAAAGCACGCGGGGCTGAGTCAGTCCTTCCTGAAAAAAGGCTGACACCTCAGGAAGGTGCAGCTGCCTTCCCAGGCAACAGGAGGGCAGGCGGCGAGGGAGCGCCGGGCACAGGGAATGGCCCTCGGGCAGCCTTCACTGCCCGCGGGCAGAAGGATCCGCCGCCGGGCAGGGCTGTCCCTGCAAACCCCAGCCAAGCGACATTTTGGAAACAGATCTACCTCGCTCACTTCACGCGGAGCCCCGAAGGCCTTCCTCTCCTTTCCTCCCCTTTCCTCTCCGGGCAGCGCACTCGGAGCTTTTGCTCAGTCTCGTCCCGGGACGCAACCACGGAGCAGATCCAGAACAAAGCTGCTCCCACCGAAGAACCTCCGAGGGACCCGCAGCTGGTGACGTACCATGGAAAACCCTGAGATACTCGGAGGGGAAGCGCAGGCTCTGGTCAGGGTGATGCCTCTGTACCTGTGGGGACCGAGGGTCTCGCCCGAGCAGGGCCAGCACCTCCGATCTGCTCCCGGGGCTGCCAGACCCGGCTGTGATCCTGGGATCATGCCAAAGGGGAACTCGGGGCACGGCACCACAGCCAAACACGAGCACGCTGCAATGGGGGGACGGCCGAGGGCCTGAGGAAGAGGGTTCTGAGACAGGAACATGCAGGACCCCCCCCGTCCGCGACGGAGAACCCTAAGCTCTGCCAAGGGCTTCCAAAAACATGCGGGAGGGCTGAGCTCGGGGCACCAGCTGAAGCAGCACACTGCTGAAGAGCCTGTCAAAACCTGCTGCCGGACTGTGCCCACCACTGTGCCCCAGCGGCCGGGCAGGGAGAGCCCAGCACTGCCCACCCCTGCCCGCAGCACAGACACAGCCCGGACACCCCGCGGACACCAAAGCGAGTTCCGGGCGCGGCTGCAGCAGAGCCACACCTGCCCACAGGTGACCTACACAAGCGGCAGAAGACAGCTCCAGATGTGCAGGGAGCAAGGCCTGCCAGCCAGCACGGGGCAGGAGGCTGCTGGTCTGTCCCACTGCCAAAAATAAGTCCAGCACGAATGACAGACCGCTGGGCAGCAGGATGCACATCTGCTCTCCTCCCTCCAGAGAGGGGCAGCTGGCAGCAGATCTCAGCAGAACAGCTAAACTGAACTTTTCCAACCCTACCCTAGCCTGAAGAAAAATTAAAAAAAAAAAATAGCAACCCAGGGCTCAGTTGTACAGATGTGAAAGTGTTAAGTGTTTATTTTAGGGTTCATATCACAAGCCTTTTCCAGAGACAAAGCTGATTGTGCCCTCTGGGGCTCCAGGGGCCAGCTATTTCCTAACTTAGCAGGCTGAAAAGGAATACTGTACCTTTCAGTGACATCCCATCAAGCTCAACACACAGTAGCTTTACACTCTCCGCCCCACACCTTATAAAGGAAAAGCCACCACCACAAGGCTAAACGAATGTACACACGCTATTATTGTAAATGGAGCAGCTAAACCTTGGCAATTTGCTTCGTGGGGATTTTTTTTTCCTCCCAGTAAATGCAGCACTTTGAGCTCCCAAAAAACCCAGCTTCCAATGAGTTTGTTCCAGCTTTAAATACATAAAACATCTCAATGCAAGACTGCATTTCATTCAAGAATCTAAAAACGAGCAAACCTGTTTTGCTGTGAGCATTTCATAGAGAAGTGAAAAGGGGAGTTTCTTTTTTAAAAAGAAATTGTAATACAGTGATGAAAGGGTTAAGAATGCAAGAATTCAGACATTCTGTGGAGGGTCTCTAAGAGGTCCATAAAAAAGGAGCGAACAGATCCATACAACAGGAGACAGCAGGAGACAAAGTTTTGTGTTGGGTTTTTTTTTGGTTGTTTTTGTTTTGTTTTTTTTTTTTTTTTGTTTTTTCCCCCCCCCCCCCCACTTTTTTGCTGGACTGCTGCTAGGTTACCGCTGCTCCCTTCTGGCCTGAGTCGGCAGGGCAGTACAGGGGCATAGAGGGAGCAGGTCACGACTCCTCGTTGCCAGAATCATCATCATCGTAACAGTCGGCATCCTCCTCCTCCTCATCTTCATCATCAATGTCGTCATCATACAAGTCGTCATAAAGCAAATCTGAACTGTTGTCATTGGAAGGCACTTTAGTTTTGATGCAGTACTCTGCCAGTGTAGTGGGGACCTTCACACCATCCTTCTCTGCCTCAGCTTTGGTAGCCAAAACCTGTTTCCTGTAGGGAGAAGGACATGGCAGGGATGTGAGCAGGGCATGTGCCAGTGGCTCAACTCCCTCACCCTCCTCCCAGGCCCTGCCCAGCCCTCCTGGCAGCTCAGGGTCGGGGAGCTGAGGTTTGCAGGAAGCACCACGAGCATCACTGGAAACAGATGTGGTTCCTGCAGTGCCAGGCTTGGGAGTGCACCAAGGGTGCTTGCAGAACACACTCTCAGCAACACATGAAATCAGTTTTTCCACAGGCTCTGCACTAGAGATCTGCCAGAGGCCAAAGCAAATTCCATTTGCTACCGTAGGGATGATCAGGGATTTCCTAGGATGACTTATTGACTCTGCTGCTGACAGCTCTCCCACAGCATGCTCAAAACTCCAATTCTCACAAGCATTTGGCGGCTCTCAGCTCCCACTGGAGGGTCAGAGCAGCTGGGGCACCCGGCAGCACCCCAGGACACAGCCTGGGGCACGCAGAAGCCAAATGTTTCCCATCACCCCGGGGGAAGGCTGGCTGCTGTGTCCCAACAAGGAGGAGCAGATGGCAGCCTGACCCCTCACCCACCCACTGCCCGTCAGTCTGCCATTCCTCGTGTGGAGTGAGGGAGCAGGAGGATTGTCTGCACAGACAGAGCCTGCTGGCCCCACCGCGGGTCACATCCTGCTTGCCCAGCTGGCAGAGAACACAGATGTGGCCTCGTGCCAGCAGTCCTGCTCCAGGCTGGGTTGTCCCTCCACAGCAGCCCTGGCCCATGCTCACATCGTCCCCCTGAAGCTCCTGACTAACCATGGAACTTCTTCAAGGGCAGCACTGAGCAGTGCCTCCAGCTAATCCAACCCAGCTCTGCAAGCCCTTGATAAATCCTGCTGATGCTCCTTTGAATTGGAGGGACAAGATTATGATTCATGTATGCATTAAGCGCAGAAATTAGTAGGATGCAGTCAGTTTGCATCATATCACAAGCAATGTAGGGCTCAAAGACAAGCAAGGACTGACTGGGATTTACTAGTAGCCAAGAGGTTTTGCAGAGCATCATGACAGATTAGTCTGAAAAAAGAACAATGTAAAGACAAGTCAGCCCAGTCCTCCTGCCCCAGAAGTTTGCACTGCTTCTGTGTGCTGAAAATTCTGGAGGGACCTGAAGCATGGACTTTGAGGAAGATACTGAAATTAATTTCCAAATTAAATTCTACTCCGAGAAGCAAGTTTCAGCAAATTCTGGAAGCAGCCTATTTGATGGGATTCACAGCAGAAGGCTGGTAGCCCAGCAAGATAACTGGCAAAGCTTACCTTATGATTTCGGCATACTCCTTGTCTTTTCCTTTACTGTCCCTCCATTTCCTGAACATGACTGATGCGTCCACATTGGCTGGGGAGAATGTGTTGGGCTCATTAAGCAAAGAGATTACACTCAGTAAGATAGTCCTGAAAGAGGTAACCACAACAGCAGAGTCAGAGCTAAAGCATTCATGGATTCTGGATGTCCACAATTTCCTCAGGTGTTGCACCATAAATTTGTTTGAAGTCAAGTCTTAAGCCAAGGACTGTTTTTTAAGCAAGAGCAGGTATTCATAAACCTCAGACCATGGACTGGTGTAGAAAAGGCGATACAACACAAACCTCATGTGACTATAGACTATTGTGTCTGTGCATGTGCTTAGGACAGGGCAGCACATAAAGCTACAATCAGACCAGAACTGAGCTTGTCTGAACTATCCACAGATGGTGTGGGGCTGGAAATCTGCTCTGTGAGCTGTTCCTGGTGGCTTGCAGCCTCCAGCAGTAAGTCAGGCTGTTTGCCTGCCCTGCACAGGGAGAAGGGACAACTATGGCGAGCAGAAAAGGCTGCACTACTTTTCCTCTGCCCTGCCAGGTGGTGGGGGTCTGAAGTCCGGGCAGAATTCTCCTCTCCTTAGCTCATTCCCCACTCAGACAGAAGCAGCAGCTTTCGAGCACAGCAAGGGGAAGAGAGTGTAGATGGTGCCAGGGCCCAGTGGGATTCAGCTGCTGGTACTCAGCAGAGCAGCATGAGCCAGTCACATAACCCCTTGCAGGCAGGCAGACAGACAAAGCCTTCAGGGACTTCCAGCCAGGTACGCTGCTCTGCTGCCATTTACCAGCTGCAAACTCCATCCTTTTGCCCACAGCCTTCTCCTGCAGTTCCTAGAACCCTTTGCACTTGAGAGATGCAGGCTTTGCTGCTTACACCATGACCCAAACAGCACAAACACCCACACCTAGCCACTGGCTGTAACTGCTACCAAGACAGCATCACCCATCCCAGTGGTCCTGCCAGCAAACTTCCCTTTCAAGTGGAAGGGACAAACAAGAGACAGGGAATAGTTCTTGAAACAGAGCATTACCTAACAACCACTTTGCAGACCTTGATTAAAGGAGACTGGGAGCCACAGTCGTGTTTGCACTGATTCAGGGGCATCCTCAGAGCACATCTACCAGATCATATATCTGGGTACAATTCCAGGAAATGCTTGGTCATTTGGATACTGAGTATCCTGAAAGGTTTTGAAAATAAACACTTGTATCCGAACAGACTGTTCAGCACAGCTATCAAGAGACTCTTATACAAATAATTTTCTAAATTATATAATTCTGTATGAAAAGAGAACAGCAGCTCTGGAAGAAACTGTCTCATTGGACTGGAATGACGGCCTTAAGAGATCATTTTCTACTTCATGTCAAGAATTCGTTTAAGAGCCGTCGAGTCTCTGCAAACAGGCCAGCATGTCAGCTCCAGCATCATTCAGCAGCTTTCCTGTAGAGCAAACGAAGTCTAGGGAAGGCCAAGGACAGGAATTCATGTCTGGATTTAGCATCTGCTCTACTACACTTCCATCAACACTGAGGAGAAGCCAATTTTTCAGACACCAAAGTCACTGCAAAGCTATTTAAATACACCAAGACAACTGTATTAGAAGTGAAGCTCCCTGAGCTCTTCATTCCCATCCAGCACATTAGATCAGTTCCATCACTGCTGATATCTTTAAGTTCTGGACAGCGTCCTCCAACTCAAAACAAATTGCCATAAATGAGGTACAGCAACAGAAAGACACCCCAGTGTGGGGCATCTGACAGGATTAAAACCACTAAAAAAGTTCAACGATGCAGGACTGAAAACCTCAGCACCAGAGATAAACTGCATGGGCTGGATATAGGCTGACTCTCTGGGATATTGTCAGGGATCTGTCTCTCCTTCAGACAAGGTTGCTATAGCATGGAAGAGCAGCCAGCAGAGGCTCAAGGAAACACCTGTTAAGGACCTTTTTTCCTCATGTATCAACGTAAGAAGGCTCCGAGATTTCATCCCAAAGACACATGATATAGATTGGCTGGTGCTCCCAACCAGCACATTTTATTATATTCCTTGCTGCAAAAGGATTTTTTTAAAATTCCAACTGCTATTGTAGCCTCTTAGTGCCACCTCAAGAGGTAGGTATAGATTGGTCGAAGTGCATTGCTGCCCTTTGGTATAAAATTAAAAGTTTTAGCCTAGGCTGCACTGACAGTCAAGTTACTGCATCAAGCTGTTTGTGGAATCTGCCCAAATCTTAGGCAGTAAAAAAAGCCAAAAAAAAAAAAGGGAATCCTCAAGAAACAAAGCAACAGGCAGACAGTACATCACCTATCCAGAGGAGATACAGGGGTACCAGTACCTTGAAAACTGTGCTGAGTCCTGGTCTGTGCAGTTCAAAGGTGGGGGAGGTAGGGGAGGTGTGGAAAAGGACAACTAAAATGCTCAGAGATCCTGAACCCCCAGCCTTGCCACCACTCACTCAGCTCCATGGGACACAGGAAACAGTATTCTGTGCCACACAGGCCAGAGCTACATTCCTTCACATCTTGCTGGGTTTTGCCGAATTTACTTATGCCTGCATCACCTACCTCCCAGTGATGGAAAAGTCCACAGTGACTGTGTTTAAAAAGATAAATGAGCCTGTTTGACACCCTTAGAAGTGGAAGCACAGGTGAACTCTCACAATTGAAGAATGAATTTTCCCCTTCACGCACATCAACCCCGCTCATCTGTGGGCAAATAGCCAGCACTGGGCAAGATCTACAAAATACAAGAGCTGAGAAGCAGCTCTCTCCCATACCCTCAGCCCCTCTGCCTCCTGTCTGACACTCTGAAGCTTTCCCAAACCAGATGGGATCCCAGCAGGATGTGCTTCTGCTGGCACTCAGTCCAACTGGTGATGGTGGTAGTGGGCTAGAAGTGAAGGACCAGTTTTATTTTCATTCACTGATACATTCAGTTGCTGAGGAATGTTTTGACCTGTCACCCTTAAGTCCAAGATATTTCAAGAGCATTAGCACCAAAAATTGTGACTGTGGTAAGGGAGAGCAGAAATTAGAGAACAAGGACCAGGAAAAGGTCAGTCTCTAGGGTTGAATATAATGAAATATTCTAAATGTATGTGTGATATATGTAATTAATGCCCAAAACTGTTTCCTAACTGCGAGTTAAGGCTTGTCACCTACTTGAGTCTTTATTTGACAGTGTCTTCTAATGAGAAGGAAATTCAGCTGCTGTTTCAAAAACATGGACAAGTTAGGCTTTGAATGCCTCTGGTACTTAGAGATACTTTTTATTTTTGGAAGGAAGAAAACCACCAGCTGCTCCCAATACCACTCAGTAGGACTGGAGACAGACAAACAATGGAAGGCAAACAAAAGGCAGAAATCTGCAAAGCTGCTTCTACTGGTCAGAATACTCAAAAACATCCTGTACTGGGTTTGCAGGGCCAAGCTTTGGTAGCCAGAGGACTACACAAGGGTGGCTTCTGTGAGAAGCTGCTAGAAGCTTCCTCTACGTCTGGCAGAGTCTGGCAGCTCCAAGGACAGATGTGCCACTGGTCAAGGCTGGGCATGTCTCTCTGGTAACATATTTAATAAGAAAAAAGTTTTATTTGTGTCCAGGGAAGAGTGGAGTGAGAACATGTGAGAGGAAGAACTTCGCAGACACTCAGGTCAGTGCACAAGGAGGGGCAGGAGCTGCTCCAGGTATTGGAGCAGAGATTCCTTTGCAGCCTGTGGTCACGACAGTGGCGAGGCAGCTGTGCCCCTGCAGCAGAGGGAGGGCACAGAATCTCTATCTACCTGCAGCTCCTGGGGGAGCCCAGGCTGGAGCAGGGGATGCCTGAGAGGGGGCTGTGATCCTCCGGGAGTCCCATGAAGAGAGTAGCTCCCACTGGAGCAGCCTGTCCTTGAAGGTGTGCATCCTGTGGCAGTATTACCCACGCTGCAGCAGTTTGGGGAAGACTACTGCCCGAGGGGTGGACTCATGTTGGCAGAGTCCATGCAGAACTGGCCTGCTGTGGGAGGAACTCCATGGTGAGCAGGAGAACGCTCCTCATCCTTAGCAGCAGGAGAAACAATATGTGATTAATTGACTAACACCCATTCCCCTACCCCCATACACTGCTGGGGTAGGAGGTAAAGTTGGGAAGGAGGGAGAGGTGGGGGGAAAGTGTTTTTAAGGACTTGTTTTACTTCTCATTATCCTGCTCTGATTTTGTTGGTAATAAATTTAATTAATATCTCTAATTCTAGCCTGTTTTTTTCCATGATGGTGTTTAGTTAGTGATCTCTCCTGCAGAAGAAGATCTGCTGCAGAAGAATATCAGAACAATGAACAGGTAGGTAAGGCTGTGAAGATTGGAATAGCTCAGGCAGACTAAGGCTGGAAGCAAAAGGGTGAGCTATTTCTAGTCCCAGGCCACTTCAGGACGTATAGGAGGGGGTGCAACACACAAATGGGCTCATGATTGACCATAGAGGCCATATACAGGTTATCCACAAATGTGAAACATGTGCTGCCATCAAGCAAGCCACACGAGTGAAATATCTCTGGAATAGAGGATGGTGGCTGGGTTTCCAGCATGGTAAGACCTGGCAAATGGATTACATTGGGCCATTGCCACAAACATGCCAAGGCAAGAGTTATATACTCACTATCACAGAGGCAACAACTGGCTGAAAACATACCCAGAGAACCATGCAACTGCTTGGAATGGGATCTCAGGTCTTGAGAGACACATTTTGTGGTGACATGGTACCCCAGAAAGAACTGAAACAGGCAATGGGACTAATTTTCAAAGTATCCTTATGAACTCTTTGGCAAAGCAACATTGAGCAAATATATCACATCCCTTATCACCCACAAGCCTCTGGAAAGACTGAGAAATGATGAAGAGTGTCAAGAGCTTTAGGTAACAGGACATGGAAGCACTGGGATGCAAATTCACAGAAGTCACTTGGCTGGTCAATGCTAGGGGATCTAACTGCACTGCTCTTGCCCAAACTAAGCCCACAGAGTGTGGGAGGAGATAAGGTCCCTGTACTACATACAGGGAAGTGGCTTGAGAAGTCAGTGTGGATTTCTCCTCCCACGGAAAAAGGCAAGTGCATTTGAAGGTTTGTCTTTACCCAAGGACCTGGGTGTACTTGGTGGGTAATGTGGAAGGATGGGGAGACCCAGTGTGTAGCTCAAGGAGATTTAACCTTGGGGGAAAAACAACCTGTGTGAGTTTTATGTTGCAGGAAGTAATGGAGCAGGAATGACAGGACCTGACAAAGAATGAATTTTGTGAGGAGCAAAGTGAATGTGATCATGGTGTAAGCCAGGCTGGTGCCCAATGATCAAGTGTGCTGCTTCTCCTGTCCTGACGGAGTAGAGCACAAGTCATGGATCTGACGGGTGGAAGAAGCCATGAAACAGGAGAATAGTATCTATCTGTGAAAGGACAGGCTAACGAAAATGTTTAGTATAGAGATGGTTCAAGGATGTGATTTGGGTTGTATGTGTGGATAAGAAGAGAATCCAGTAATGAGAAATAAATACAATGGAACAGTTGGAAGATAGATAAATTATGTGGGATCTAAACGTGACACAAATGGTATGGAATAGAGAGTGGAGATTGTATTGAGTCTGGCTGAGCTGTAGTTCATTTTCCCTTAGCAGCCCTCAGTGATTTCTATTCATAGTTACAAAGGTATTGATAACACACCACTGTTTTGGCTACCGCTGAGCAGTGCTGGCACAGCATCAGTACTGTCTCTAACATTCCCCACTCCCCCATCAAGGGGCTGAGAGCTGGCAAGATCCTAGGATGGGACACAACCAAATTAACCTGGGGTCCAAATTAACCAAAGGGATATTCCATACCATGTAACATCAGCTCAGATACAAAAGCTAAGTGAGAGAGGAGGAATGGGGGACATTTGTTATATTACAATGTTTGCCTTCTGGAACAACCCCTATGGGTGCTGAAGCCCTGCTTCCCGGGAAGTGGCTGAACATTCCTCATCAATGATAAGTGGAGATTTTTTTTTTCCCCTTTGCTTATGTGCACACAAGGTTTTGCTATTGCTTTAGTAAACTGCCTTCTCAACCTACAAGTTGTTTTCCATGTTATATTCTCCCCGTCCTGCTGGGAAGGGAACCAATAGGGCAGTTTGGTGGGCACTTGGAACCCATTACACGTACTTTTCCACTAGTGGTACTTTGAAGAAGATAACAGTGACTGAGAAGGGCTTCAATATTTGAGATAATTTGCCTTTAAAGTATGAAACCCTGTGAACAGGACAGAAAGCTCTGCACTGTAAGCCCAGTACTAAGACAGAGCAGCCCAGTATGTTCAGATGGACTGGTAAGACCCCACAAAACCTTAAATTCCCTCCCCAAACTCTCCCAACATAGGCCCTAGGTCCTGTAGAGATGACAGGCCTTTGAGGTCACCACTGCACAACATATTCACAGTTACCTGACATTTTGGGTAGGGTTCCACCTCTCTGATGGTAGCTCTCCACTTTGTGGGTCATCTACAGGTGGGTGAAGAATTGAAATACATACATCTCCATTCTGCAAGACAGAAAAAAACCACTGAGAATAGCTTGGCTGAAGACTGAGGCCTGATGACTCAAATCCACCACTCTGGCTGTCTTCTGAGAAGTTTAACCTTGTTGATATTGATATTTACACACCCAAGTGCCAGTAAAAACCAACAAGGCCTGGAAGTGGTTCTGAATTCTTCCTGGACCTACTTTATCCCCAAGGGTTGCAAACTGGCAAAAAACCCCAATATCAAATCAAGACGTTTAAAGAATGTACTGAAGTAAGCAAAAGTAGTAATAATGTAACATAAAACTAAATTGGTCTCCATATAGCACATACTACTGTCACAGTGACATAAGTTTTAATCACAGGAGACCCAAAGTAGGGTTAAAGAAAATTTGTTTTCGCACTGGTACCTTGAGCTAGCTACAGGAAATTTTTGAATTGAAGGCTTCAATCACCATCTACTAGCTCAGGTATGAAAACTTTATAATCTTCCAGAACACAAGGATGTTGAACAGATGGTGTAGGGCAGGTTTAAACAGCTCCCCTAGGACACAGCTGTTCAAAATACCAGATGAAAAAAGTAGGAGATGCTCTCTCAAGGTTTCACTGAAAATCCCTTCCAGCATGCAAGACGAAGAATATTCTGGCAGCATATGGAAGCCATACAGCCATATAATCCTCAATATGTTTCTACTCACCAGTGTTATGGCCTGAATAGAGATTTAAAACTCCATAATATCTATTTAAGAAAGCTGTCAACCCAATTCTCCATCAGCAACAGAACTCTGACACAATTGCTTTGTAGGAGCGCTGGAGCAATATCCACCCCAGCTGATATCCCCCACGGAGGCAGACCCCAGGGACTCACTGGTACCAATGCCTTACTGCAGGATGGGGTGAAGGTGCAGATGAGGCCTGAGGCCAGCCAGCAGATATTGGCCTCTCCAGGCCCCATTTGCTCTCCCTTGCAGCCAGCTGTGGGGTGAATCACAAGTTCCTAGAGGCAGCACCACACCCTTCAGCAGGCACAGCCCCAGCTGAGGGGCAGCACTCATGCTGTCCCTTGTCATCCCGGTCCAGGGCACAGGCTGATGACACGATCAGCTCTGTTCAGGACTCCAGGCTAGCAGCTTCCCACACACCTGGTCTCACATCCTTCCAATACTGCTCGAGCACAGAGCAGGGCTGCTCACAGGAACAGCATCTGTGCCTTTGAGCCCAAGCCAGTGATCACAGCTACAGATAGCAGCAGCTCACCTGGGGGGGTTGTGATCCATATCCAGATTTCAGTGGTGCACTACTCCCGCCAGGTATGCTAATCTAGCAGGCCCTTGTCACTTTGAAGCAGGTTCTAGTCAAGAACACAGCAAGGCAGCACCTGGAGCTGCTAAATTCCAAGCACATACTTATGTTGCTGGAACAGTTTGCATTAAGAAGGCAGTTTCCCTTTTAGGACCCCAACAGGCTTGTGAAATCTTGGCATTTTTTTAGTATCATTCCAAGGTGAAGTTAACTATACTAATATTAGATTATGCTCAGACTACTCTGCTTTTACTAATAATTTCCATTAGTTTTTCCTTTAACCTTTTCCTAGGAGAATGCAATGCTAGTGGCCCAGAGGAAGTATCTCAGAACTTGGGAAAAGTTCCTGAAGGAATCAGGCCAGCAGCATGTGGACAAGCTGATATTTGACAAAATGAAAACAGAGGGAAGCAACAATGTGAGAAGTTTTTGTCTTGCCACGATCAGTGCTACATGCTTGGAAACTGCATTGCATTAAGAGTCTGAAAGGGTAAAGGTATAATGGGGCCTGATAAGGTCAGCACAAGGTTCTATGAATCAGGACAGTCAGGGGAAAAGACTTTCCCTAAATGCATTTTTGAAAGACATAAACAAGGAGAATGGGGTATTCATCTGCCATTGAGAAATATCCTACACTTCTATCAGGACTGACAACTATTACATCATAAAAATAAAGAGCTAGTGAATGCAGCTTTATCCAGTTAGATGACCCAAATAAAACAGAGACAGGAAAAGCACACATTGCTCAAGTCTCATTGCTCAGAACTGGAATGTCATCCCTTCCATCTGGTCCTACCAGCAGATTCTGTAAACTTACTTTCTTTCTTCTTCCTTGCACTAAGAGGGTTTTGTTTGTCCCCTTCCTTTTGAAAAACCCTCAAACCTCAAACACTTTGCTGAGATAGTCTCAGTTTCATTTGGAGTTATCCCAGCGCCTCATCTTGACTGCTTAAATGTTGTTTCCAAAACAGCCTGCAAGCTGCTTCAGATTCCCTCAGCTACAAGATGTACTGCTACAAACACAAAGCACAAAGGTGAGAGCTCGAGTATTTGAAGAGCAAACCCAAAATATACCCATCAAGTTTTGGGTTAGCTCCTCCTGCTGCCTTCAGTTGTTTTTAGTAAATTTTTCATCTTTCTCACCAGGACTGAGAGAGGTCCTTTCCAAGGCTGGTTTTTGTACATTTCATTTTGGTAACTGTTTGCCACTCACCTTCTGAATGAGGATTTCCAGATTCACAATCAATACCCACAATTTGGGCCTGCAATTTTCTGAAGATTTCTAACTTGTCCTTATTTATAGATCAAAATTCTTTGTAACTGAAATAGAGCCTTAAAGAGAAACCTTGGCTTGGAAAGATCCTGTTCCAAGTATCAAACCCATATCAGAAAACTGTCAAATAACCAATCTGAGGATGCCCTCAGACTTAGGACAAACTTGTGGATCAGTTAATAATTAAAGCTTGTTATTATTCTGTTCTGCACTGAAGTTTGGCAAGGTTTCTAGCCATTTATTACTAAGCCTTCAATGCAGTTCTCACCATTATATTGCAAGCATACCCATTCCATGCTGGGCATTCAGCAGCAAGAACTTATCAGAAAGGGCTTTCCAAGTCCCAGCCATCATCTGAAGCCTTCATTTGTTCACAGGATGGAAAAGAATGACATTGCTGTTTTCAGGTGGGTTCAAAGGAAGCCTGCAGAACCTCTCATAAGAAAACCTGTGATAAGGTCAGAGACCTGAACCAACAGGAGCATTTTGAAATCCTTTAGTTCCCAAAACTATAGAACCAGTGTTTCTTAGCAGGCTGACATCCTTACAGGATACCCAAAAGTTCAGCCAGGATTTGAGTGACCTCCACTAAAAGTCAAGTTTTTAATCAAAACAGGCCTTCAGTCTTCAAGTGCAGCTCTATGGAACTGGATTATATTGAACCAATTGCTTCTACATAGAATCATTCCTCTTCTGGACCTGCTGTGAAGTTCTATTGTGATCCAACTGATGACAGTCCACAGCCTTGACTACCCTCTGAAAGTAACCCATACACATACTGGGTTTAAGGAAGCAGAAAGCTTTCTTACACATTCCAGAAGAAGTTATTCAAAAACATCTTACCTCATAAATGTTGGGGTGCCACATTTTGGTCAGGAATCTGAAGGTAGGTGGTGAATAAGGATAGTCGATAGGAAATTTAATGTGAGCCTGAAAAAAAGCAGAATATTTTAGCTATGAAACAACAAAAAAAGGCCAAACAACAACTACAGTGAAAAGATTGGGAAAAAATTAATTAAGGCTACTAATTTGCTCATTTTATAAACTAGTGCCCAAGTGGATCCACAGTATAACCCTGTGCAATTTCTTATGAGCAGAATAATAACTGAACAAGAAAAACCAAAACACCTGGGCTCAGTAAACAAGCCAAAACACATTTACCATGTCCTAATTCAAGAAGCACTATTCAACAGCTGTTGTTAAACAGGCTAAAATATACTGGAAAGGTTTTAACTTGAGAGCACTGCTGTCCTTCTGAATTCAAAAGCAGACTAAAAAAACGTTTACCAAGCTGAATAGACTTGTTTTATATTTGCCTGTACAAATATTTAAAGTTATTCCTCCCATGATGAAAAAAAAATTTGTTACATAACTTGCTCTAGCTATTTTGCCTTCCTTTGAAAGTTAAGCTGGTCCATCAACTTGTGTTTCTAATAAGACATGTTTTGCCACCACAGGTATTTTTGAAGTCTTAATATCATCCGTGTCTGTTTAATAAATCAATGCATCTTGGGGACTATTGATGGGCAATGACAGACATCCAGCAGTGGTCAACAACCATCTGTGGGGCACGACTCTGAGTCGAGTCAGTTGCGGAAAGGCTGCTGAGATCCTAGCACTGGAAATTAACTTCTCTGTGCTGTCCTGCTGTTCACAGCAGTCTGAATATGGACTGATCAAGTGTCCAAAATATTTCTCTCTGGAAGGAGGACTTGCATGTTGCTTGCTGCACTGTGGAGCACTTTCCCTGGAACTGCTCAACTCACCAAAAAGTCCTACTGCCAGCCCAGTGAGGGATCTCCAGAGAAGCATCTTCTGGTCCCTCAAACACAGCCAGGCTCATTTCCAACTGAGAATGCAAGAAGAGATCCCAAAAGCAAGATTCATATTTATCCTAGTTTGAAATAAATTTGAAACTAGGAGGAAACCTAGTCACTCTAGGACAACATGGTAAGAGCAGAATTCTAGGTCATTCTCTTTCACTTAAGTACCTAACCATGCCACTTGTTCAAGAGAAACTTTGCAAGGTTTCATTCCATAGTACACAGAAGCAGACAACCAAACAAATTGATTACAGAACTGTTAGGTAGCTGGCTACAATTTTACTCATCAGCACATACCTTTGCCTTACAACCCAAATTTTACACTCTGGGGTCAGAGTGCCAGGTAGCGAAGAAAAGAAGGTTTTCTATTCACCTTTATGAAAAAATTCACCAGCTCACATGACCTTACAAATCGTAGATGCCTACTCATGACTGTATGTGGGCATGTTACAGCAGCACTGAGTCCTCACCCTGCAGTCATTTGTTACAGCACACTCACAGCCAAGAGATTTATGATGCACTTAAACAATCCCACAGTTTAAGGCCAGTTGCATGAATGGCATTGCTCCAAGAGCAGTGAGTGAATGGCTCTTGTCACCACACACTGCTGAAGCAAGGACATGCCACCCTGAACTGAGAGCAGAGCAGAGATCTATCCAGGGCAGGGCACGTTCACTCCAACTAAAGCGCTTGCATCATCTAGCTGCAGACTCCTCCAGACACTGGGATTTTCCTAAGAAAGCCCATTCCTGTGCTTACAAGCAGTTTTGTGAGATCTAAGACAAAACAGCGAAAGGACCGAGATTAAAAATGCAAGAGACAACAAAACCTCGAGGTTGAGCTACCTACAAGATGTCTTAGCAAAATCTATCTTCTACACAACCACAGCTCCCAGGTGACCAAAACAAAAAGTACTGCACCAGCAGACTACCAGCACTGCTATACTTATAACCCATACAGATGCTCAAGAACTGCAGGTCTCATTCCGTCCAGTAAAACCCCTCTGCTTTCAAATTGTCTAATCCTGACAGGTTTGTCTCAAGACCACTCCAGAAGTTGAGCCTGTGGCACCAGTATGTCCCTGCATATGATGCAGACTCATGCAGAAACTGTAGATCCTAAAGGACTGCTCCAAACTTCTAAATCCTGTTTGACAGTTCTTTATTAGAAAAGGACTACCTGCCTACAATAACTATCACTGTAGAATGCAGTGTTGTGTCACATGAAGGATTCTCTTGAGCTCTAGGAACAGAAAATGCAACTGGAGAAGTAAGAAATCCTTCCTTCCCACATGCAGGCTAAGAACTTAGCTTCCCTGTAATCTGTCACATATTTAAAGAAAGCAGTCACATTACATGGTGATCAGCTATTTCTAACTAGTCTGTAGCTCTTTAGCACATTCAGATTCTGTACTGGAACATGAAGCAAGTGAGGCTTCTCTACAAACCTGATTTCAGAGTCAAAAAACCCCAAAACAGAAAACCAAAATACAGGCAGGAATTTTTCCCAAACAAAAAAGCACCACTGTCAGGTCCCCACGGTGAGATCATCCAGAATTTGAAAGTGAAACCAAACAAACACTCTTCCAGGCCATTACAAACAGGTCTGAGAAAATTACCTCATCTCTTCTGCAAGAGAAACCATGGAAAGTTATGCAAGCCTATTCTGCTCTCACTGAATGCTATGTGAGTTTTTGTGTGGGTTAAGCAAGCCAAGAATTTCCAAGGCAAGCTGCAAGACTTCTTACAAAGATGCAGCAACAGCCACAATTGCAGGTCACTTTTCCCCCCACTGAAAGCCTGACTCTAAACATGTTAAAAAAAAGAAAAGACCAAATTAAGCAATAAACCTAATTTGAAATAGAGCTTACAGAAGAGTTTTTCCCTACAGTTACACTGATACAAGGCAAAAAAAAAAAACTGTTAAGCTCAGCTAGGCTACTAGGTACTAGAGGGTGGAAGAGTTTTCAGGGAGCTTGTTGCTAGCTCAGTTACAGCCACACAAACTAATTTAGGAGGACTAAAGATGCAGCTCAGTTTCCCCCTGCAAGTTCCAAACAGTTACTGAACTCACCATGTGCCTGCATTCACCACTCCTCGAACTGAACAGAAATAATCCTGTTTTGGTGTTGATTTTAGCCAGCTGCATGCCACGGCTCCTTGACGTGACTGAACATACTCAACAGCCAGGAAGGTAAAGACCAGTCACCAATCAACCCATTCCTCCCTTTCTCAGTTTGTAATTAGTCACGTTTATAATCCCTAGAAAAATACACTCTTTTAAATAGTCCAGCCTGGCAGAAGATACAGACAGCCCTTTACAGCTGCCACAAGAACTTCAACTTCCAAATTACAACATAGCACATATTTTAAGAATATTGCTACCAGCATAGTCACTTTGTTTCCTATTTTACTGCTCCCCTGCATTTTCAACAGAGACTGCACTTCAGGTTTGTTGATTTTCTTTAAATTGGGTAAGACAAAGGCACAGGTTCTGCTATGTATGCCAGAAAAATATACAGTCTCACTAGATCTTGTGTGACTGAAAATATAAACCTAATATTTCTGCCAACCACAGAATTATTCACTGTTTCAGTCACTATGAATAACTATTACAGCAACTTTGTTTCTTGAGATCTTGACACACACTTGACTCAACACTTGTACTAGGGTCACAACTACTCAAGCACTCCAGGCTTGGGCGGAGAGACTGGAAAGTGTCTGAACATGAGCCAGTACGTGCCCAGGTGGCCAAGAGGATCCTGGTCTGGATCAGCAATAGCATGGCCAGTGGGACTAACACAGCCAGGACTTCCTCCTAGTCTCAGTCCTTGTTCCAGCCTAGTTGCAAATGACACTTCAAGAGTCTGACATTGAGTTTTTACACCATCTCAAGCTGACAAAACTGAAATCCCTGATTTTTAGGCAGAAAGGGAAGGAATGTTGAATCCATCCTCTCTGCCCAGTGCAGATAGGCCATGGGGGAAGTGCACACATTTCCTGGAAAGCCACCAGGATCACAATTGATCTGATTTGAGGATAATGGGGGACACCAGCAGCTTTTATAACAGCCAGCATAAATTGCAGCTGCTTGGTGTTCCTGGAAGTGCCATTTAGAGATTATCTTTATTTCAAAACATCACAAGCTTAATGCCAGCCCTTCCAAAACTCTGCATTAGTGAGGGCAAGGACCTTTAGCAAATTGTATTTAAGATCAGATACAAAAGGAAGTGGTTTGAGTTTTTAAATTATTTTGCTGTTATTTGAAATTATCTGCTACAGTCAGCCCACAGATAAGCTCCTATTGACTCTGTGCAGGTACCACCAAAGTCTCTTACAGATCACCCACCTGCCCTGGTAGACTCACAGACAGCACAAGGACTCCTCACTTTCCTTCTCAAGGGGCAAAACCAGACTCTCCACTGTGCTCCTGCTGACTACTCCACACTAAACATGCAAGAAAAGTGAGGACAGGAACTACAGGCCACTACCAGGCTAAGCGTTTGCATCTAATCCCACAAAATGCCCTTTCCTGCTTCTGGTGCATCACACATTTATACAATTCATTTAATGGAATCTCCTCTTCCACATTAAGCCTGGATTAGTGCATGCAGTACTAAACACAATGTGCTGAAAAGCATGTTCAACAGAGGTCAGCAGTCAGTACCAGCAGTCAGTTTCTCACAGCAGTGAGGTTTAAAGCACCTCAGTATCATCCAGCTCACAACATGTAAAACAGCATTATAGCCAGTCCCACTACACTGTCAACTATTTGGTGAGGTAAAAATGAATGTAGAGCCAACACTGCTATTTCAGCTCCATTTATGACTTATGGCCTAAGTAATTTCTTGTGGCAGAGCTGGGCGCTAGCCTGGTACTTTAAACCCAGTTATGGCTTCATTTCCCAGCAGCACTGTATCAGTATTAACTGACATCTGCGCTTTCAGAGAATAAGAGCACATCTCTGATCCAAGATGAGTGACCAGGTCACTGAAGTCTTGTGAGTCCTGAAAATTCCGTTGGTGCTGCAGTGGCCACATGAACAGTAACAGCAGAAAACTCCTTATATCCCACATTACCTGCACTGTTTCATAAGGGATTTAAATCA